ACATTAAACCCCGTTAAACTTATGGTGTAGTAAAAGAAAGTTCACTTGATCCTGTCCTTGCAGATACATTCATGGCTAACCTTGAAAAGGCCAAGCTTAAAGGAGTAGTTGATAGAATGATGTATTATGCAAATTATGTTGATGACACTTTTATTATATGTAATGTTTAACGACAACTAAAACTTCTCAACGACGCTTATTAAAATAGACAGTTTACCATGGGACCGGAAAATGGCGATAAATTCCACTTTCTTAACATTACCATACAACAAAGGGAGGATGGTACAGTTCAACATTCAGTTTTTTTGAAAAGATACATGGGATGGTGTTTATCTAAATCTTAACAGCTTTTGTCTGATTAGTTACAAAACAGAATGGAGCAGATATGTTGTATCGATACACGAGTAAAATTAATGAAAGTTAAAGAAGGCTTAAAGAACAGTGGGTATCCAAGGAAATTTATTGTGAAATATGGGATATATAGAGACAAAATGCCCAAGAAACTACAGCAGAAAAGAAACCGATTTTCATTCAACTTGAATTCAAAGGTGACGATTATGAAATAATTTTATAGAGAATATTAAAACCACACTTAACAGGACTTATCCTACAAGCGGATTATTCTGCACAAAACAATATGTTCCTTACTCCTGTCAAAGTTCGATAGGTACCCCTTCTGTGTTACAATCAACTGCCCATACAAATTTACATTTACCGACCAAGCAGTTACATTGGTTGAACGGAAAAAGGGCCTGCGTTCGATTTCAAGAAGATATCCCATAAATCTCAGGTCAATGAGAGTAATGGCTTCTAGCAGTGGTATTGCAAGACATCAAGTTGATGGACTGAAGTCTTTCAGCATCATCAGTCGATACTCAGACTCACCGAAGCCATAGTCGACTTACGTTTCCAAAAAAAAATGTTTCCTCATCATAGCTATTTTATCGCCAGTTTACTACATCATTCCTGCAGTTGTTTTCCTTGTTTTAAATGCATGGCCTCCAAAGCATTCGCAACAATATGTCTTCAAACTCATCGCTCCACCACTTATAAGCATGTAAACTTCACAATTACTTTGATTTCTTAAAATATAGGTCGCAAGCAGCTGGTGAGAATCTTACTAAATGAAGTGAATTCATATTCTGCTCAACTCTTTCTTCTTACTCTATTCAAGATAATGAGGGGAACTAAATGCATGAAACAAAATCAATGTCGACCTATTTTCTAATTCATGCATTACGTCTCACTTGCAAAAATCGTATTACTCGGTCACTTGAAGCACAGTAAAAGCTTGTGTTAATCTGAATTTGGTTTTCTATTTATGTTTTTTATCACCAATAAGACCAACTTACGAGAAAAATGAATCTGATCCCAGTTGTTCGAACTGCTCTTAAACTTAGTATGGTTGTAACTTACACGATTATCAGACCTGAATTTCTCAACAGTATTGTTATTCTGTCTGACGTATTTTATGATTCATATTGTTTTTATTTCCATTATTGTGCCACGAGTGAAATAACTGATAATCGAACGTTTAAACTGGTGTTCTTGTGATTATAATAATTATTATTCCATTTCCGATAACAACTCATTGCTCGTTGTGACTTAGTAGTTTAGTAAAGACTATCTAAAAATTACTTCACATGACTATTGAGTGATATTGTCTTGCTCCAAATAATACTAATGTTTATTAACCTCTCGTAGTGTTCTTATTTTAACGGTTTGTCCCTAAAAATTGTCAGATGCGGAGTTTTCAGATCTGTAACAATAGCTACTACATAGACGATCTTCAAGTGAAAAATATTATCCACCGTTAGTTACTCACTGAACTAAAAATGTCAACACAAGTAATAACAGCTGTTAGCAGAATTCATTTTATTCTCAATAATATACATAAATATTGATTATATTTCACCCAACGCATATGCTATTGCAAAATAAGAGCTTTTCCGGTCATTGATGAATAAATAAATACATGATTTCAATTACCAATCCTAAATCTCGCCACTCCCAGATACTATGGAATAAGTTGACCGAGTAGTTAACTGAATTTTTTTGCAAATATATCTGCTTTGTGCAAATGAGGTCCTGCCAAATCAACTAAGTTAACTCATAAAACATGGCGAACAACATCGTCTTATGTTAACTTCGCCATTTTCATTACCTGCTCACTTCATTTGATAGCATGGACAGAACAACACTATGGAAGCTTCTTCGATACTACGGCGTGCCTCAGAAGATAGTCAATATCATACAGAACTCATATGATAGATTACACTGCAAAATTGTGCACAGAGGGCAGTTCACAAAGTCGTTCGAAGTGAAGACTGGTGTTAGGCAAGGTTGCTTACTCTCACCCTTTCTCTTTCTCCTGGTGATCGACTGGATCATGAAGACGTCAACATCTGAAGGGAAACACGGGATACAATGGACATCTAGGATGCAGTAGGACGATCTAGACTTCGCAGACGATCTGCCCCTCCTATCCCAAACGCAACAACAAATGCAGGAGAAGACGAACAGTGTGGCAGCAGCCTCAGCGGCAGTAGGTCTCAATATACACAAAGGGAAAAGCAAGATTCTCCGATACAACACAGAATGCACCAGTCCAATCACACTTGACGGAGAAGATTTGGAAGATGTAAAAACCACTACATATTTGGGCAGTATCATTGATGAACATGGTGGATCTGATGCGGATGTGAATGCGCGGATCGATAAGGCAAGAGCAGCATATTTACAACTGAAGAACATCTGGAACTCAAGACACCTGTCAACCAACACCAAGGTCAGGATTTTCAATACAAATGTCAAGACAGTTCTACTGTATGTGGCAGAAACCTGGAGAACTACAAAAGCCATCATCCAGGATATACAAGTGTTTATTAACAGTTGTCTACGCAAAATACTTCAGATCCGTTGGCCGGACACTATTAGCAACAACGTACTGTGGGAGAGAACAAACCAGATCCCAGCGGAGGAAGAAGCGCTGGAAGTGGATAGGACACACATTGAGGAAAGCACCCAACTGCGTCACAAGACAAGCCCTCACATGGAATCCTCAAGGCTAAAGGAAAAGAGGAAGACCAAAGAACACATTACGCCGATAAATGGAAATAGACATGAAAAAAATGAACAAGAATTGGATGGAAGTAGAAAAGAAGGCCCAGGACAAAGTGGGTTGGAGAATACTAGTCGGCGGCCTAGGTTCCATTAGGAGTAATAGGCGTAAGCTCACTGAATCAGTAAGAAGATGAACCATAATTATAATCTCTACTGCCTCTAAAGCGACCATTTAAGTTCCAATCAGTTTATCAATGCCGCTAAGTGGAAAATTTTTAAAACCAATACTCAGAAAAGTGGATCCTTAATATTTTGATATCTCATGGAATACATTTGGAAGTTAATATATATAAGAAGTACTCTTCACTTAAATTTGTAGGTATAACTGAATGTACAATTTAGTGTAAAGAAGAGATTTAGGTCGTGTTAATAGTAGTGTTTTGATCGGATGATATGATCACTTCGTCTTATTGGACATAGTAGTATTCAATACTATGTAAAGTCCCTTACATGCCACTTATGGTTACGAAAGATTTGAGGTTGCTTGAATATTCTTAGTACTAAGAATATTCATTTTAACGGATATGGTACAAGGAGGCACCAAATACATATGCGCCACACAGATCTCATTCGATATGTGTGAAGGCTGTGATACTACCCGGGTGCCCAAATCGAAGCAGGTCGTTTTCTTAGGGGGCCACACTCGGAGTCTCGACTTGAAGGTCTGATCCACAAAGCAGTGGAGCAAGGTAAGGAGATGCAGTCCCATGGTAGCCGGTGACCAACGATTGGTTCCTTCAGGATACTGGAGCCCATGTGTACCATTGGTTTGGAGTCAGGGTTTTCTAACTCCCCTAGGTGGACTCTCAGTATCCACCAACCCAGTTAAAGCGCCGGACGTTCCCTTTTCGTCCTCTCAATCTCATAGAATACATTTGGAAGTTAATATATATAAGAAGTTCTCTTCAATTAAATTTGTAGGTATAACTGAATGCACAATTTAGTGTAAATAAGAGAGGGCTCCATGGTCTAAAGGCTAAGTGTTCGCGCGTGAGACAGGCCCCGTCTCTGATTCTCGGGTGTGGGTTCACACTGCAGAAGAGTCTCATAATCAAACAGCTTCCAATGCTTCAAGGTTTTCAGTGGGGTTCTAGTTAAGATTATTTCGTGATTAGCAAATAACTGGGTGAGTATGTTTCTATATTCCCTATATTGTAAGATTCTGTTGGACTCAATAATTATTGCTAAACATTTTACTATTTTTTCATTACTGTTAATTAATTATTTACAACTTGACCCGTTGCTTTAACACTCTGAGCTTTTTTGTGCATAAACTACGATTTCTCATTTGCGGTTTGAAAATTTATGTACATAAACTCATGAATGTTCGAGGCGCAATGACTGAGTGAATAAAAATAACTTACCCGCTTTCTGTGTTCGCTTATTTAGGATTAAATATTGGGTTAAAAGAAGGCGTGCGTTCTGCACCAATAGGAGTTGAGATTATTATGGCCACAAGTGAAGCTTAAGTTGGTCTACAAATGAGGAAAGTATACTCCGTGTAGGTGATTATAATCCGCATCTTATCTAGTGATCCACTAAGAAACGTATAAAGAAGACCCGAGGATCGCAACAATAATAATCAGCAGCTATCGGAAGTAATCGAAATCGCCTAATTATTGTGAATTAATTGAACTATCTTCATGAATCATGGACGACAAATAAATTGTAACAAGCAAGACCTGAGGATACTGGCTTCTATTCAGAGATATTTTGTAGAAATCCATATCTAAAGAGTTTAATGATATTTGTTTTATATTATTTGACCTCCTATGTTTGTTTGACTAACAGAGAACCGTGATGATAAATCGATTAATATAACAAAATCTTTGAATTGTCTTGGTTTACAGGAAGTATGATGAGAATAAACGGGACGTATAAAAAGATTTGTATTTAAAATTAAAAATTTTACGAATAAATATTTGATTAAATGATATCTACTAATGAATTTATAAATTATATAAACTGTTCGGATGGAACGTCGTAAACACAGAATTTGTATGTAAATCCATTCTCTGTGAAAGTACCCGCTGGTATATCCGGTAGACTAAACAAAAAGAAATTAAACTGGTTAATATGACAATATTTTGGAAAGACATATGGCATGCAGACTACTGTTTTTGACTTCTGAAATAACCTCTACCATTTTGATGGTTGGTATTCTTAACTACATTCAAATGTCGAAATTAGAGCGGTCATAACAACTTAACGACGGTTTATTTTCGGCATCAATATGCCTACTAGCTGACTGAAGGTAGGAGTTACCAAATATAGGAATAAAGTTCAATCAAAGATGATTTACTTTTCTCGAGGCTTTTTGTCCATTTCGGAGGATGATGACATCAATTTTACAATTTTAAGGCCTATCATAGAATAAGAAATTTTTCCAATATTAGCTGGCTGAATGATGTATTAAGTAAAGACGAATATATAGAAAGAACAACATTTGAATAGAGCCATATAAACTCATTTATTTCACTAATTCCCTAAAACTCCTTAGGGGCTGGATAATTTAGTGGTGATAATTATAAACAGTTAACATTTTGAACGACTGCTAAGAATGATTTCACATCTGTCGCCATGGAATAGCCCGCATTCCATGCTATCTATCTCAATCGATACTTTTTGAAAAAACTAACAAAAGTGTGTAAATCCACTTTTCAGACAACTGATATCCACAAAATAGATGAACCAAATTATTCTACTCAAATGTCGTACTTGTTTCGTTGAGATTTAAATAGAAGTAGAATTGTGATTGAATAATTCGTGGATCTGTTGATGGACTTCAAATACGATGACCACAAAATACTGAACTACAAATAAATCAGTAGTTTCATCCATTTATTTATAATTATCCATAAAATAAAGACCCTCACAAGGAGTATTGGAGAGTTTAAATACTTACTCAACTTTTTTCAGTTTACTCCAATCCAGTTTTGGGAAATAAGTATCGCAGTCCACCTCATTTAGTATGTGCGTACAATAGATACGAACCGGGTATATGGATTGTTTCAAGGCTTCCTAAATTAAGAAAATATAGGTTGTTTGTAAAAACGAAAGCCTAAGTTTAAATAATTCGAGCTCAGTTGCACACAATAGACTTCATAAAGTGCTCATGGTTACTGCTTTGATTAAACGTGAAAAAAATTTTGTGGTTCATTTAAATGTCCAATGACATACAAAACCCCTAATGACTACCAACCATCCGATTTGTGTAAGTTCATAAATATGGCCGTACAAATGACAAACCTTTTTTCTCAAATCTCAGCCTAACGCCCGTTAGGTGTTAAATAAACGAAATTAACTCTGAGGAATTTCGATCCAGATGGTATCTAAATAGACACAAGAAGGTACTCTTTTACTCCTAAGGTAACGCTCTCAGATAGTGTTATGGCTCGCGTGGGTTCGAATCCCATCCCCGTCGCCAATTGTTATGGCTCAAGGAGAGAGCCGATTATATGACAGTGACTTATCGATCGGATCAAGGGTTCAGAATCTCGATAGTCTATTCTGGTCCGTTGTCCCCAACTCTGCTAACTCGATCAAAAAGTCTGGGTAAGTTGTAGAAAGTGTATTCTACAGACAAACAGCAGATAACAAGTCAGGCAGGCAGATCAGATCAAGCATACAAGTCAAGCGTATTTATACAATTATTTACAATCGATAGAAAATTTTTAAACATTAATCAATGAGTTCATTAATTGACCTATTTGCGCATTTAATCGATAAGTAAATTACAAAATTTGAGTTTTGGGGATCTATCGTCCCCAACAGATAGGCATGTTTATCAAAACTGAAACAGTTTTTTGAGCACCTTCGAAATCGATAGATGAAATCACTAGGTCGTTTTCCGATTTCATTCCCTTTCCGATCGCGTTCTCTAACTCATTATTTTACCATGGTAGACTATATCAATACTCTTAGTTATTCGTTGTATATCTTGTTATCTCCTATATAAGTATATTTAAATCGATCATTTACACCAGTTTTAGGAACAGATGAAGGTAAAATAAACGAATCAGTCAGTCAGCTACAACGTAGGACCAGGCACATATATGCATCGGTTCAAGTTGTCATACCTCATTAACACAACAAGATGGACACCGAATTCATAAAAGTAGTTCATTCAGTGACGGTAATATATAAAAGAAAGATTGAAATAAGGAAATAGTACACGAAGAAAGAATTAGTTCGTAGAATGGAAGATATGAAGCGATTTTAATCTCTTAGTTTAAGGGAAGACAGACAGTGTATACACCGACGCCATTGCGATCGATTATGAGCCATGTCACCAAGAGTCTCCAACCATTGGTTACGACAGTCAAGCGGACTCCAACCAAGTAGTCTGCATCTACCAACATGGCTCACAATAGAAGTTAGTGACTTCAAGCACTGATGCCACGTTTTGGTTTGGCCGCCCCTAACTTCCTTCCGACCATCCCCGACACCGGTTAGCATTGCACGACGTGGTAATCGGTGCTCAGGCATACGTAACACGTGGCCCAACCATCTCAGTCGATGAAGATTCACAACCTCATCAACTGATTTACCATCATTCCCTAATACCCTGCGTCTAACCTCACTATTACTTACCCGGTGATCCCAACAGACGCCAGCAATATTTCTAAGGCACCTGTGGTCAAATACTAGTAGCTTACGAGTGTCTTCTACTCTTAGTGGCCATGTTTCGCAGCCGTAAAGTAGAACAGAACGAACTGTCGCGCAGTATACTCGTATTTTATTGATAGATAGATATCTCGCCTTCGCCATAGGTGACGTAAGTTGGCAAAAGTCAAATGAGATTTTCGAACCCGTGCTGAGATTTCGTCAGACACCAACCCATTAGGGCTGATCAGACTTCCAAGATAAGTGAAGTTGTCAACGCGTTCGACTACTTCACTCCCTATCCTTAGTTTATGTGTTGACGCAGACCAGTCCTGAAGCAACAACTTGCATTTAGAGGGAGAGAAGCGCATTCCAAACATTCTGGCATTGTTGCTTAGTGCTACCAAAAGACTCTGCATTTTATCAGCGCCTTCACCAAACAGGACTATGTCATCTGCGTATTCTAAGTTGATAAGTGGACCTCCTGGAAGGAGATCAATACCCGAGAATTCAGTAGACGAAAATGTTATTTACATCAGTAGGTCTATGATGAAGTTAAACAAAAATGGAGAAAGTGGACAGCCTTGACGGACACCACTCGAGGTTGCAAAAACAGATGACAACTCGCCATAAGCTCTGACTCCACTGGTAGTGTTTGAGTAAAGAGCCTTTGCAAGGTTTATGTACTTCTGAGGTACGCTTTTCAATGACAGACACTGCCACAGAATCTCGCGGTCTACCGAGTCAAATGCTGCTTTTAAGTCAAGAAAGACCACCACTGTCGGACGCCGATAAGTATGCCTATTTTCTAGAACCTGACGAATAGTGAATATGTGGTCGATGCAGCCACGACCAGGTCTGAAGCCAGCTTGATTCTCTCGTGTTTGCAGTTCACGAGTCTTAGTTAGGCGTCCGATAATTATCGAGGCTAGTATTTTAGATACTATATTAGTTAAACTAATCCCTCTATGGTTGTCACAGGATGATTTTAACCCTCTCTTATATATTGGGACGATAAGTGATTGTGACCAGTCAGATGGAATAACGTCTAACTCCCAGATCTTAGCTAAAATATTAGTCAACCTAATCGCTAAAATTGGACCACCATCCTTAAAGACCTCTGGAGCCAATCCATCTGGACCAGCTGCCCTTCCTCGTTTCAGATTAACTATAGCCTTTTGAACTCCTGCTAGAGTTGGGGAACCTACTTCAATGTTCATTCACACTGTCTGGGAATGGAGGGTAGTTGAAGAGTAGCTGAAGGCCAGCTGAACTGTTCTCTGGAGTGTTCCGCCCATCGTTCTAAACGTCTGGACTGGGAGCAGATCAAAGTGTCGTCTTTTTCCGAAATAGTCCGACTTACACTTGACTTATTAATTCCAGTTTATTTTATTAGTCTGTAGAGCTGTCTTGTGTTCTCTATAGCCGCCGCCTTTTCCATCTCTTTTGCTTTCGTTGCCCACCACCCAGATCTGATTTGTATTCGCTCTTCATCGTGTTCAGAGCCTGATGGGATGAGTTTACGAGAATCCATCAGTGCAATAGACCTAGAGGAAATCCATTGGTTCTTTGTGGTTACAATCTGGGGTTTAGATCACTGATAGATGTCACTGCTGTTTCCACAGCTGTTTGTATAGCTTTCCAAGCAACATCTGGGTCAGCCTCGTTTTCAGAACTACCTAAGTGTGACCTCAGCTGTTTCTGGAACCTACTTTTGGTTTTCTCGCTACTCAATTCAGTTATAATGGGTCTTTTTACTGTGGCTTTCCTGCGTCCAGTGAGGCGCAAGCAGAGGCGTGCCCGTATTAGGGCGTGGTCGGAGTCCAAGCAGGTACTCCAGAATGAACGACAATCTTCTACCGACCCTCTCCAACGATGACTGATGGCAATATGGTCTATTTGAGTCCATCGTTGGTTTGGTGTAGGGGGTCGCCATGTTAGACGATGTCTCTCCTTATGCTTAAAATTTGTGTTTACTAAAAATAAATGACTGTCTGAGCACAGTTGCAGCAGACGATCACCATTATCTGTCCGTTGTGCCGGAATACTAAAACACCCACCTAAATGCCTTTCTGTTTGGTTTAAACTATCTATCTGGGCATTAAAGTCGCCTGCTACGAGTACTATGTCTGAACGTTTAGCTTTCTGAAGAAGTTCAGATAGCTTTCTGTAAAATTCATCTTTCACTTCATCCGAGCTGCAGGCGGTGGGAGCGTAGGCAGAAACGGCGAAAAGGCAACGACGTGTGTCCCTATCCTTCCGAGTTCTCACGGAGCCGTTCAGCCGAACAGCACATAAACGACTGTTAACGGGGATTCACTCTAACAGTGCTTGTTCCGCTCTCATGCTTAATGTTATGCCTACTCCTGCCAGTTCACGAGAGCTGGCCGTCGGGTCACCAGATACATGGAGGGTGTATCTCGTTGGCTCGCCGTTTTGCCGAGGTGAGGTCAAGTGAACGACCACACTGGAATCCTGTATGCGTGTCCCAGAGACACAGCATACATCAAGGGTACGAGATTCTAGGGTTCTAGCCAAGGAAGCCTGTTGACCGATTTGACATAGGGTGTTTACGTTGAAGGCTCCAATGTGTAGTTTGGAGCGAGGTTTCAGTCGACCTGAGACAGTGTTTTGCGCACTAAAATCGTTGGCTATGGTGACACTTGAGGGAGAAGTTGAAAGAGTAAGTTTAGAGGTGAAGGTCGATGTAGGAGGAATAATAGGAATTAAAGAGGGAGGTTGATTATGAATACAATGGTCTTGGGTGCTATTAGAGGTATGAGGGCGGTTATCACTTCCCGGTTGCCCACACCGTGGAGGGTTTTTCTGGAGGTACGTGAAAAGGAAATTGGATTAGAGGTTGTCTTAGTGACCTGAGAGCGTGACCATAGTGCCCAACGGACGACTGTTTGAGGTCGGTCACACACGACCTTTTTATGGGTAATTTTTTTGTTAGCTCCGTACTTGTTGATACCTTACCACCGGAGACGGATATCCGTGGGATAAGGCGAGGTGTGACATTTTTAGGGTCGACCTTTTCTAACTCCACCCCTCCTTGTGGGAAGGCAGCATCGCTGTCATGTTGATTGTCTGAAGGAAACACCTTACTGCTATCACACCTCTGTACAGTCAGCAGTACGACTCCACCTTCGGATCTTGGGTTTGTTGCTTTTAGTCTTACCGTTCTTCAACCGACCTGTCTGACATGGTAGGACCTTGAGGAACGGTTGTTCCAGCCAGTATAGTTCGGTTGCTTCATCACGATGGGCAAGCCCGACCACCACGTCAAGGTAGCAACAACGGTTGGGAAAATAAACAAATAATGATAATAAAGTCACTGAAAAGATATATATATATATGGAATGATGAATTTAATAAATGGGGGATATAGGAAACTGATGTATCGTTAACAATGCAGTTGGTTTTTCCAATTATTTGACCATTTTTCTAACTAATAAAAGAGAAAACGTTAATAAATCTTAAGAAACAATACGAAAACACTTAGTAGGTCCATACGTTCTATGGTTAATTAGTCTAGAATAATTGTGCAGAAGCCTACAGAGATACAAAATAGGACATAAAATTTAACTCACTTCGTAAAGACGATGCCCACCAATGATAAAAACCTCATCTACTATGGAGCTGAATTCTTCACTATATAACAAGTCAATGGCCGCATTAAGATTGGGAACAATTTGAACACGTGGTGGTGCGCTTGAAAGGCTTGGTAAGTTATAAATAGGAAGTACTGTGATAGCGTGCTTGATACCACTATGTTAATCCTATCCTTTAGTGGTTTGAAGCTCTCCGGTATAGATTCCCATGTCAATCTCCCCATAACAACCGCATTTTTGAGACCTGGATTTATTTTTAGGTTAAACACTTTACCTGGATGAGCTTTAGTTGTTATTGATTTGAAAAATTCCATGTCTTTCCTGAAAACAAGTAACAAGCTTAGTACTTTGGTGTAAAATTTGGATTATATAACGACTACAATAGCTCACTGAAAGCAAACGAATTAAAGCGACTAAGCAATAAATTGGTTAATCTTTTCGATCGATTGCTTGTTTACATTACAGTTTTAGGAAATTCTGACGTTAATTTCATTGATCAGAATAATATATGAACCACATTGAAGGGATAATTAGCCAGTCACAAACGATGTAGAACCTGTACGTATGTACATCGGCTCAAGTTTCCATACCCCATTAGCATAGAGAAATGAAGTTGTCAGGCTAATTCCCAGAATAGCAGAGGTAGTAAAAGTATCAGTGGTGATAGGAAATATGAAGTATCGAAGAAATGACTCGAAAAGAAAATATAAAGTAGCGAAATAAAAGCAAAAAAAGTCGTAGGGACATTAGAATATCAGGATTTGGATGAAGATAGAATAGATGCACCTGTGCAATTGAAAACGATTTTGAGCGATGTTATTCGAAGTTTCTAACCATTGGTTATGATAATCACGCGAACGCAAAAAAAGTAATATGTACCTATTAACATGGCTAATTTCAATTATCAGTGACTTTATAGACTGATATTATGTTTTGGTTTGGCCGCCCCTACCACTCTTCCAGCCTGCTCTTGGACAAGATATAATAAAAATGCAGCTTATTTATCATAAACAGGTTCTTGTGATTTACTTTTAGGCATACCTCTTACACGAGGGTTATTGATATTATTCTGGAGCTAAAAATTAAGTAGATGATGCATGGTTCGAACCTAAGACATACCCTTTAAAAAGCCAAAAAACCACTACTTGATAAAGCCACTAATCGTTGGAGAACTAGTTTTGAAGAATAATCATCTCAAAAACACTTGATTTAGTTACTTTGTTGGAAAAAACCTACTTTACGTTAACCATAATCACTGAAGTATCCGTATAATGTTGACAGTCTGTTTACAACCGCCCCGTATGAAGCTTTGAGAATAAATGAGAAGTGCTGAGACTATAATTTATGGACGACCTTTGAGTGACGCCAAACTGACCATGAGTCTTCACTTAATAACTAGGACCAAATGAGGGTTATAAACCAGTGTGAGGAATTAGAATTATGATTTACAGTTGATGGTTAGAGTTAGGAATTACGTTTAGGGTTTTAATCACGAACTGACACCAGCTATAATGCTAAAACTCTATTTAGCCAAGTAGATGGGTGAATTTCGCGCCGAAATCCGAGACTCGTTATCTTAGACCTGATTGGTTCGCCACCAAATTATAGTCTCGCCAAAGCGCCTAATATGCACCAGGTTCGCTTTATCACGTCGTTAGTCTGGTTGTAAGAGGATAAGTGTATAATATGACGGTAAAATTGTTTTGTGCTGAAAAAACGATCAAATTTCCATCGGTTATTTCAGAAGTCCTAGTTTTGGTTATTATTGCCTTCAAATGACTGCTAAGACTTGGTGGAAACTCTTAGTAAGTAGTCGTAGGACTTGAGAACATGTTTTACAGTAAGGCAGAATGGTCGTCTTATGAGTATTATTGTATTCAAATACTGAATTTGATGTCTTGATTAGCCTAAACATATCGTCCCAACGATCCCCTATATTGCATATTGTTCTCAGATACTAGGGCTAAGTATATAAAACCACTAAGACTACTTTATTACAGTCGCGGGGGATGAAATATGTATCGGTTAAATCAACAACTCGACTTGTTAAAAATCCGCTGGTGATGTGCCAAACATCCAGAAACTCTATGGTTTCGGGCTGTCAAACATAGCTTAGAGTAAAAGGTGTTTTTCCTGACCCGTAAAAATTTTTCTTGATTGTTTTCTCATTTAAGTTATACAGATCAATACATAATAATACTGCTTGTCCACTTTATTTGATGATTAGACATTTCTCCTATTCCAACTATTTACTACAACTTTACTTTCCTTGGTAGTGTATTGGTGAGGCGAGATGCAGTCTACTGCTCACTGCCAGAGCTCACATTCATAATGAAATTTTTTTATAAAAATACTCAACCGCTGAAACATCAATAGCAAAATTTTCAACAAAAGTATTCATAAAAAGACTTGCTTGTCGCGTAAGGTTGACGGTCTCAGTACCTAACTTCTAAACATTGGGACACTATAGTCAAGTCAGTTTGAACAATACTCTTATCTTTTACAACAGAATTATGAATCGGTTCCTAAAATACGTGGCTCCCAAATTGCACCTAATTGCATGTTTTTCACACAAAAAACCAACACTAATAGAGTTCTGAAATTTGAGACTTCAGCTTTAATAATTGAGGCGCAAATATTACATGTATGTGATCAACATACATGTTGATTGAAAAATATTTGTTTATAATATGTTTAAAATATGTTTAGGTTCAGCGGATATATGCTGAACCTAAACATATACAACCCAAACCATTAGCAAGTCCAGAAAAACATGAAAGGTAACCATTGCTGATTTAGGAATCACTAAAACATCTGTCTTCACCAGTCTTCTAAAAGTAGATATCTGTAGGGAGGTGGTAGTCAAATATTTGACTATCACATATGTGATAAAATTTTAGGTAGCATTTTATCCAGAATTGAATGGCTATTTAACCAACCTTTAAGAGCAAGCTGTTAAGGAAGACATAATCTACTTGAAATGTCTGAGGTTTTCATTACCTTTTTAAACCCTGCAAACTATTCAATCGAAAAATTTGAGTAAGTCTACGAATTATAAATGTTTACTTCAGAATGTTAAACGACTCAGTATGTTATCGAAGCTGGACCTTACTTTATTTTCCAAGGCAAACCTCCACCCTTCCCGATACCCCAGTTTTCAGAAACTGCAACAACAACATTTAGACGCATGTTTTATCGCGGAATTGACCTTGTAGTCCATTAACGCGGGTTCAGTCTTCAGTAACAAAGATAGTAGGTTGGTGAACCTGTGTTAATCCTGAATGCTTGTCTTCCAGTGAAGGTGCAGCTTCTCCTTAAAAACGCTTATTGGTGTGGCTGATGCCATTTTTTGGGTAGGGAGTTTCAGTGATTGACCACTCGAGACATTTACTCGTCAAGGCATTTGAATGCTCGGCGAAGTGACCATAACGCAAGAAAACCTTTGAGAGCAACTGCGTTGCAATGCGTAGTTGTTTTCAAGTCATGACTTATTATTACTCCTAAGTCTTTGTGTTCTTTAACGCATAGAAGAGGTTTACCATCAATGGTATATTGGTAACCATTACCGTGACCGATGTACATTAGCACACTCATCCTAGAGTTGATTTCTAAGGCCCACTCTCGAGCCCATCTAACTAAATCGTCTAAGTCAGCTTGAAGATCCAGATAATCAGCCTCACTTTTATTGTTCTCCAGATTTTCACGTCATCCGCAAACAATAATGTCGACGACCTAAGCAACAGCGGTAACTCATTAACTTGGAGTGGGGAGAGCAGAGGGCCTAAGATGGTGCCTTTGGGTACACCACTTTTGACCGGCTTTCAATCGGATAGCTTTCCGTTGACCCTCACTCTTTGTCTGCGGTCACATAAGAAGTTTCCTATCCACTCCTGTACAGTACCTATTATTCCGAAGCTCAAGAGCTTCTGCAGAAGACCTAAGTGTGAAACCTTGTAAAGTGCTTTGCTAAAATCTATGAATATCACATCGACAGACAGACCTTTGTCTAAGGCTGCTGTCCAACCCTCTCTCGCAATTAGTAAGTTAGTCAAGCATGAACGCTTGTTACGAAACCCATGTCGCTCAGGAGCTAACAGGTTGTATGAATCTATGTGACTTAGCAACTAAATCCGAATTATCTTTTCAAGTAACTATGCTGTTTAGACTGATGGGCCGGTAGTTGGATACGATCTGTCTCTGACCATCCTTAAATATAGGACTGACTATAGCGTCTTTCCAATCTCTAGGGAGTTGAGCGAGTGAATGGACATGTTGAAGAGTATCGCGAGCGGTTTGGAAATAATGTCTTCGGGAGATGACAGCAACCGTGGATTTAACCGATCAGGGCCCGGTATCTTACAACTAATATATGTCAAAACCAAAGAAATCAAGTATTCATTCAGTTCCTTATTTCGTGTAGTCATTATATTTTTACTTTCCGAATCAACAACTGTGAACGTGTCCTGAACCATCATTAACAATGGACATAAAAGACAGCACTACCTATTTATTTTCCATAGCTAATCCCCAACCCATTGCTATTCATAAATGGTTTCTCGACATCGCTATAAAACTTTGTTTCGATTCGACAAGCACGTAATATGGTTGATTTGGACGATGAAACTAAGAAATAAAGCAGCCAATAAACTGACTAGTTATTATTTACACAATTGGTGTTGTTTGCCCACAGTTACGTTTATTCAACCATTGGCGAAATTTTCATATCATTATCGTAGAGATGGTTTGGAATTTGTATTTTCCTTGGCTAAATCCTATGCTCTGGTGGTTAGCACTCACGTTATCAATGTACGGACGACTAACTAAATGAAAGTATCATACGGTATGTTACCTATAAAATTACTATACTACCTGCATTGATTTCACATACCTAATTTCAAACTCATTTTATAAATGATTCGTTAGTTAATCAGAACATTGAGTTTACGACATGACTCTCACGGATATGCCTGTTTGTAGCTGATTGTCGTCCGTGGTCCATACGAAATTCTGGAACTTACTACTACTGATATGTAATCAAAACCTCATTTTACATAAATAAGCCATATATTTTGCCTTGTTTGGCTTAAAACGGAAACTTACTATACATGTGGCTTTTTAATTTGATTATTATTAATATGAAAGGAAAACCCTTGTATTGTTCATGCGTTAAGCAGCTACACGTTGTTGCCGTTTCAATTGTTAGGGTACTTTGGCCTAGTAATCGTCACTTGATTGTTATTTTTCCCCATGTCCGAACAACTTATAATCGGCGAACACCGTATGGATGTGAGTACTGCAAACGAAAACACCAACAGCACACGCACTCGAACTTCTGCCCACCTGAATGCTAGACCATAAACTTAACCAGTGGATTACACAGGCCTATAGTGGACGTGACTGCACTATTTCCTTACACCGATCAATTATTCATACTACTTATGACCAATAGAACTTGCACACTTGTATGATGTAGACCACCTTGTCACCAAGGTGCTTTGGGGAAATGTAGCTTCACTACAGCGTGTATACCTACATAAAGCCATCAAATGCTGGCTAACGTAAGACATATATATTCGACCCTCGTACTTTTTATAATTTCCATATTCTCCCTAACCATATACATTCTTTTTCCGGTTTGGAAAGTACACTTATGCATCCGCGGTTGCGAACCCGGTTATAAAGTGCGGACGTCATAAACTCAAGTTCATATGTTTCATTAAGTTTGGCGAGAAGATCCACTTCTGCGACGTTCACATATTTGCATACACATATATTTAAAATTAGTAACTTTTTTCGTATACAAGATGTCTACACTGTGTCTATTTCCTTCCAGATTACCAATCCATTCCGGGAGCCAGACACTTACTGGTTTTCTTCATTGCCTTTGAAGTAAATTCTTCTTTATTTTTTTACTTCAGGGCGACCCAAGAGGTAAGTGGGTAAACACCTGATGGCTGGACAGCATGGAAAAACAGTACGTCACCAAAACTATATTGGGTAGCCCGCTCGTGGTTCTACCTCTAATAACATTGTTTCATTTCATCATCCCTTATTCTCTTACGAGCTGTGATCACCATATAGAGGGCACGTGTCAAACCATCAGCGGTATTTGTGGAGAAAATTTAATGTTACTTCATAATAAGCTAGTAAAGGAAGAGACGTCCATGGACTATCGAGGACTACTGACGGAGTTGCCTGAATATGAAACACTGAACGAGTTAGTAATTCTCTCTTGGGCTACTGAAACAAAACGTAGACGTTCTCGATAGGTAGGTTGATCGAAGTCGATTCTAGGAGGAAGCTAATGTAACAGATTGGGTTCTTTGGTTAAGAGTCGACCCCAAACAATTAAGCGTATGCCAAAAAATAAAAATCCAGTACTCACTGACTTCTTTATTTCGTATATGCATTATATTTCCTGTTATCTTATATTGAAAAGCTCTCTGTGTTTGAACAGGTAACCTCCCACTCGACTGTGACTGTCCGACGGTCACAATAAAGACCTATTCATTACTACTCTGGTTTCTTTTATTATTAGAATGAGAGCTACGCTCAGGCATAAAACACTTTTTATATTCAGATGAGTTAACAGAGTATAAACCTTGGAATAAAATATGAAATTCAGCTGATACCAGGAAAAACGGAAATTCACATCCAGGCTGTTTGCACAATTGGACATCTGGGTATGAACCACGTGATGATACAAGAAGAATTTGACCCAATCAAGTTGATAATAGTCCTCCTAAGAATACAGAACAAGATGAGCTTATAGCGCTCAAATTCATTGCACGAGCCATCCTAAAGCAATGAGACACTATTAAACCCTAGCAAAGGATGATGTCCGAATTAAACCTCTCGTATTAGTTGAAGAAATCGGTAAGACTCAACTCAGTTACCCATGTCATTGTAGGACCGGTAAAAAGTCGTTTAGCCCTCGCCAAATAATCGGACAGACATCACCGGGTGTCAAACAGCTGACTTATCGTCGACTAGGTCAAGAAACACCAATCTGCACCAACCAATGGAATGCGATGGACAGATGCGCGGGGCAGTGATTAGGCTCCACGCTTCTATCAAATGTTAATAATACATGTTGTTGTCTGTTGTGAGTATTTATTCTTCACAGATACATGATCAACACGATAGCGTGATCCAGGTTACGTATAAACTGCAAGACGCGACTTCCACATAATCTAGTACACCTCAGCATTCCCATCCTTTTTGAGTGGTCACTCGATCACAGACGCGAATCACCTACGTAAGTGATCTAAAACTATCTTAGCAATAGTAGACAGATACTCCCTCCTCTAATATACCAACAATGACTTTTAGTTGCAAAAGTGTTCAGAATTAAAAGCACGATCAACTCATGAACATATAGATTGATAATAATAATCGAAGGTGTAGACTTCATTAGCCCATCGAATCTCGAGGTTATTAATGGGCATGGTAATAAGATATTCTTTTCCATGAATCGCCTTTCCAATCTGTTCAATTAGAATCTTAATCGCAGTTAAAGCGGAAAACTGTTACAACCAACATTGCCAAGCCACCTAGTGAAATCGGCCGCCATAAAAACGGCCAATTACATATGGCATATCCTCAACAGGTTGACATTAAAGATGTCACAGGTGTTTGAAGTATGACAACGCTTCATCCAGTAACGCCTCCTACTATGAATCGTACCCACTGAGTGAAATGAAAAGACAGAAGCGAGGAGGTTCGAAGACGCATTTGATAGGCTATCAATATATCGAAGATCGACTGATCTAGACTGGTTCGGATGCATGACCGAGGGCCATCAGCTGGATGGGTCCATCAAAACTAATGTGTTCAGCATCAAATGTCGAAGACTTAAAGAGCTATTTATTTTGGAGATTTATTTACCGCTACAAAACCAATCGGAATAACCACAACCAAAACTAAGAGCTTTACTATTGAGACAAATAATGGTACAATTAATAACAGTGTATGCTCTTCTGGCATTTTCGGCGAGATATTCAGATTGAATCATTTCGAGCCACATGCGAAATATAAACTAGTTTCTACCATAGGAATTCCATCACATAATATTTAACCTTGTACTCCTAATTAAAAAGCTTTCTAAGCAACCTTAACAACCCATTTGAATTATGTCAAGCAAACACTAATTATCAACCAAAAGATCAAATGAAGAAAGCTAAACCCTATGGACATTATCAGTGTCACATTTCTGAATATTATAATTGTTCCTTTGGACTAGAAACTAGGATAAATTGATGTACTAACTAAGAAT